TGTAGGTAGTATTCTACAATAAGCTGTCGTGGTTTGTGTCTGAACTACCTGAAAAAGATATCTCAAATGTGGTGGTCCAGTGTAGGTAGTATTCTACAATAAGCTGTCGTGGTTTGTGTCTAAACTACCTGAAAAAGATATCTCAAACGTGGTGGTCCAGTGTAGGCAGTATTCTACAATAAGCTGTCGTGGTTTGTGTCTGAACTACCTGAAAAAGATATCTCATACGTGGTGGTCCAGTGTAGGCAGTATTCTACAATAAGCTGTCGTGGTTTGTGTCTGAACTACCTGAAAAAGATATCTCAAACGTGGTGGTCCAGTGTAGGTAGTATTCTACAATAAGCTGTCGTGGTTTGTGTCTGAACTACCTGAAAAGATATCTCAAACGTGGTGGTCCAGTGTAGGTAGTATTCTACAATAAGCTGTCGTGGTTTGTGTCTGAACTACCTGAAAAAGATATCTCAAACGTGGTGGTCCAGTGTAGGTAGTATTCTACAATAAGCTGCCGTGGTTTGTGTCTGAACTACCTGAAAAGATATCTCAAACGTGGTGGTTCAGTGTAGGTAGTATTCTACAATAAGCTGCCGTGGTTTGTGTCTAAACTACCTGAAAAGATATCTCAAACGTGGTGGTTCAGTGTAGGTAGTATTCTACAATAAGCTGCCGTGGTTTATGTCTGAACTAACTGAAAAATATTGAACACTAAAAGACTTGTTTATATATTTTTGTCAAATTTCTCTTCGGCCTTACCTCTGTCTTATGAATTTGTTCACGTACACCATCAGGCTCGATGCTGATTGGTTGATCAAGCTCAGCAGTGTCCACGTCAGCAAGCCAAGTTTCCAAATTCTTAAGGTGGTCATGGAATGTTTTAAATACATTCATATCTCTCTCCATATCCGATTGTTTCTTGTGAACTTTGGCTAATAATCTACGTTGTCGTTGTTTTACGCCAGACAGTCGGCTCTGAACGGTTTCCGAACTTGGCGAGTCCCTATCCACGGCTTGTAGGATCTCCTTGCTTGAACGACGCAGTTGGGTAACCTGGGGTTTCGACACTTCCAACTGATTTTTAGCTTCCTAAATTGTCAACAGAATGTTACTTATTTTCGGCTTCCTAAATTGTCAATAGAATGTTAATTTTATTATTTGATACAAATGAGGGTATTAGAATCCTAGGGCTTGTGGAGGGGAGTTCTATAACGTGATCAAACATTACATCACCTTTATTTTTTCCAAATGAGCTTCAACTTCTTGTGCTTCGAACGAGACAGGAGGTGCAGCCTCAACCAACTCTTCAACTTGAGCAAACACTTGTTCCAGCGGTTCAATCAGTTCCTCAGACATGCTCATTTCTTTCTGGATCACGCCCAGTTTTCGTTCACGATTCTGAAGCTGTTTCAACAGCTTGTTATATCGGTCGATGACGTCACCACTTCTTTCTTTGATCTTGCCGACCTCTTTCGGTTCGTCATTTCTTGCTTGCGTCAGCCAATCTGAAGTAGCTTCGATCTTCTCGTTCAGCGGTTTCTTAACTTCAACTTCATGTAAGATTTCCTAAATGACATAAATTGGTTCACTTCAGAACATAGATTCAACTACAATTCTTAATTCTACTCATTTGTACACAAGTCTACTACTACATAATTATAATAAAAATAATTAACATTATGTTCTCAATTTGACCATCAATTTTGTTGACGATAGTGGTTAGTGGAACCCACCTATAAACCACATAGAGATAAAGCAGAAATGAAGATTATTATTTGCAAATATTACAAACAAAATTCCATCTCACCTGGACTGCTTTAATCTGATCCTTGATTATCTCAAGATCTGTACTCATTGGACCCAGGCACTCGGCACTCTTTTCCACCTTAGGTAACCACTCCTCCATTTCAGTGACAGCAGTATTAAACTCAGCGGTCTTTTCCACAACATCTGTCAACCAATGAATTTTGTCAGCCACATCCTCTCTCAATGATTCTGTTCCGTCCAATAGTCTGGCTACGCGCTCAACAGGAGCTGAGTAGTCGATGATTTCGCTACTGTTGTTCGCGGCCTGGAGACGAGATTTCAAAGGAGCAGCTTGCGTTTTGACCGTATCAAGATCGTTCTTTGCGTTCTGAAAAGAACTGTTTGTGTTAGGTACGTGTTTACAATCCAAGCTGGGGTATTATTGAGTGATATTTTGGCGATACAGTACTTAGGGCAAGTATCTTTCATCTCTATTACTGCGCAGTTGCTTCCTTAAGGTAATTAAGTATTCCGTTATTGCACCTCTATGGAGTTTAAAATTGATAGAGCTATCCAGGATAAATACAATTAGCTTAGTTTATGTTTCAACACTGGAACAATAAGGGATTGCTGTTCCTCTAAGGAGAACAATATTAGAAGTTGTACAGAGACAATGTTAGTTTAGTTTTCTTACCTGCAGTTTAGTCAAGTAATTCTGCAATGCTTCAGGTTCAGAGCCAAGCTCCCTGGGTTTCTTGCTTCGTTTCTCACAGTTCCTGAGAGTATCTTCATACGGGGATACAATACTCTGGAATTTCTTCACAAGTTTCTGCGCTTCTTGCATTTGTTGTTTTCTCTCGTCAGTCAGTTCTTTGATCTTGGCCCACCTGTGTTTTGTGAGATCAAGTTTCTCCTGTACCACGGCTACGTCACGTGTGACGTCATCCATCTTGCACGTGTCGATGAGTGCCGCGGCAGTGTCAATGTATTCCTGGTACATAGGCGTGACTCTTTCTATCGTCTCTTCAGCACTCTGCAAGTTAAAGGTCTTATTAGAGAGGGGTCTTATTAGAGAGGGGTCTTATTAGAGAGGGGTCTTATTAGAGAGGGGTCTTATTAGAGAGGGGTCTTATTAGAGAGGGTTCTTATTAGAGAGGGGTCTTATTAGAGAGGGAGGCTAATTATTAGAGAACTGAGGAAAAGTACACACAAAAATTTTCCTGAACAAACTAACCTTGAGAATATTCTGTTGTTTCGTAAGTCCTTTATGTTCGACAGGAATAGTTGTAATCTTCTTCAATCTAGCCTCGACATCGTTCAGATGTGGTTCTACCTCTTCCCAGGCCTCTTCACAAGTGATCGCGGCCGGGACGACATCTTCAATGGTCTGTTGTTGATCCACGACTTTGTTATGAACGTCTGACCAGCGTGTTTTAAGATCATTAAGTCTGTTCTGCAGCTCAGAAGATTGCTCAGGTTGCTCCTGCACTTGTTGTACGATATGTTTGAGGATTTGATCGTAGTTCACAACTTCGTGACATAATGGCTACATGAGTATTGAATTGAAGTTAAAACATTAAAGCGTCAAATATACCGACATAAAATTGCTGTTGAATTCTTGCAATATGTAGTTGTCTGATTATAATTTCGCCTCACATGTGAGAAAGGAGGCTTCCTGAATGACAAACCTTACTAGAACAGTTCACACTGGAAAAAAAAATTAAAATCCATAGAAGGTCATAGAATGGAAATTGTATGGACCTTTATTGGAAATAGAATGGATTTTGGTTATCCATAATAATTGTATATTTCCATAGTATGGATATAGCATGGAAATAGGTTGGATATACTATGGATTTTGTGGTGCAATTGCAAATTTCGTAGTATGGATTTCACTTTTTTTTCCAGTGTCAAGCTATCAATGACGTTAGCTTTGCTCTTCCACAGACCTTGTGTTGTTCTTGGACGGCCATGGCAACATCATATTTCGCAGACACAGGTTCAACTTCACTAAATTCTTTCTCAAACTCTTCCAATTTCTCCTCAACTCTGTCTAGGTTCACTTCAGGTTTCAATACAACAGTCACGATATCATAGAGCTTCACCTCACGTGCTGTAACCTTGGCAACGAGCTTGGTAACCGGCTCTTCTACCTGTCTGTAGCGCCCCTTGAGCAAGGCGACCGTTGCAGGGTCATCACGATTGCTCTCAACTAACCAGACCAATGTCTGCTCCATGATAACCAGTTTAATCTCAACAGGATGGAGTTTGTTTCTGATCACCTGTGTTTGCGGAGAAAAACGAATAAAGAATATAAATGAGTCTTGGTGGCACTAAATTGAGATAGTTAGGTTGAGGTGTTACAATGCTATTTATAAACTTACCTTAACCTCGACCAACTGTTTACCAGCCTTCTCAAGCTCTTCGCTGACTGGTTCCAAGGCTTCCACCTCTTTTGCAATCTCACTCGTTGCCTTGACAACCTCTTGTGATGTCGTATCAAATACATCCATCTTAGATGATCGTTTGGTGAGCAATGATTTCTTCTTTTGTAAGTCAATCAAAGCTGCAGTATATTGCGTGTTCACGGTGACTATAGGCAACGGTATTTCTGCTTCTTGCTCCTCGATAGCTTCAACGTCATATTGTCCTGCTTCCACGTTATGGATCGCTTCCTGTTAACAACATTTCAAATATTATGGCAGGTTCACAAATAGGGCTTGTAACGTACTAGGATTTTGAGCTTTACAACTGGCCTCTGTAGCTCAGTTGGTTAGAGCACTGCACTGGAATCACAGGGCCTCAGGTTCGATTCCTGCTAGTGGCACTATAGTTGCATTTTTCGCAACTGCTGCTGGTTAAGTCTAATAAATGTATAAATTATTCACACTCTACAAAACCCATCTACAACTTTTAACAATGTTGGTGGTATAGTGGTATTCAAGTTAATTTGAAGCTAAAAGGACCTACCTACCACCAAACGCCTGGCAATAATAATAATAATAATAATAAACATTTATATAGCGCACAAACCAAGACTGTTCTAGGCGCTTTACAGTAATACAAAATCCAATCTTAAAAACTAGTGTTAAGAATGTTAAAACTATAGAATACATTATACACTATTTAAAAACAAGTTAAAAAGATATGTTTTAAGAAACTTCTTAAAAGTGGTTAATGATTCACACATCCGAAGATGAACAGGTAAATCATTCCACAATCTAGGTCCAGCAACACAGAACGATCTGTCTCCGTATGTCTTTAGTCTAGAATAAGGAATCTGGAGCAATTCATTTCCATTTGATCG